CATGATATAATGATATACCGCTTCCCTTTATGTTGTGTGGTACATTTGTAACATGGAGGGGGTATTGGTAATGTCAGGCTGACTTTGTTTTTCTCCTTGGGTCCATATCATACAGAGTACCAAAAGCCATCAGTCTTTCTGGCATGGTTATTATAGGAAATACCATCTCAAGTAGTGTTGCCATAACCATCGAAGCAGCTTTGGCTTCTGCAAACCTTTTCAAACACATCTGGTGATGAGGTGAGACTGAAGATGGAAACTTTAGGGGTGAAAGAAAACAACGTGGATGCACAAAATACTGCAGATGACAAATGCTGGAAAAAGAGAGCGAGGGAAAGAGCAAGTCCAAATGTAATCTGACAAAAATGAACTCTGGGTGACTTGTGGCCTGGCTGTGGCAGGATTATAATCAAGTATTATAATCAGACCTTACAAATCGTTTTGTTTACCTCTGTTGGCTGAGATGATAGGACAAGCAGTGGAGGACGGCTGACATCCTACCTATGCAACAGTATAGCTGTTGGCTTTCCAATCCCTGTGCAGCCTGAATAACAGAAATCTTTCTGACATTATTCTCCACAGTGCGCCAAGCTTGTTTTTGCATTACTCTTAGGGCTCATTTACAACGGCCACTTCAGGGCTAGATTTACTCAACGTCTAATCTTGTGTTTCACAAGTGCATTTAGCAGTTAAGATGCCCAGTTTGGTACATAAAGTACATCTCTTTGAGCAATTAAAATGACACCTACTATTACCTTCAGAACCTTGAACCTGACCCCTTCCTTTAACTACATCTATTTTCACCGTTGCAAACATAGGTGCTAACTGTGCAGGACTTTTCCCAATAGTAGTAACAGCAAGGTCCTGAACTTGTGTTGCTGCGTAAGAGTTGCAAACATGCCAGTGGAGGTGGAATGCTGACCATGCTGGGACTTTGGTATGGCAGGGATGGGAGTCCTGGCATGGGAACATAGCACAGTGTCACTCTGGCTATCAGGTTCCTGTCCATACTAAACATAGAGGGCCACAACAGCCCCACTGGGGATATTTGAAAGGATTTCCAATTAGCACCGTCATCATAAATTATAGTCAGTCCATGGATCAAGGCTGTTGTGCCATTGCTACTGTTAGCTACAGCAAAAAAAAACAGCAAGAAGAGTTTTACACAGAAAACATGACACGTCAGTGAGGTGAGGACAGACTCAGGAGACTTGAGTCTTAGATTAGAAGAGGAATCTGACATCTGTACTTCATGGAGGGACTAACTTAGAGTCAACCAGGCATGTGCTCACATGTGTTGACAGAGACAAGATGAGGGGACAGAAGCTCTCCATGAGGTCCATCTTAATGTTCTTTCTCCACTTAAGTGAGATGTCTTGCTTTGTGTCATGATAACTTATTCTCTCTTTCAGCTGTCCAGTGAGGCAATCAGTGAAGTTACACAAGTTGTTCCTGACAAGGTTGAAAAACAGTCCAGCTTTCAGTGACAAAAAAGCAGGAGCTTCTGCTGTCAGCCTCCTCATGCAGAAGTGCTTCAAACTGGAATAAACCAGCTGCCGAGAAATATCATGAAGAAAAAAACACATTGCCCCCCTCTCCGCCTCCATGCAGTCTATCTGCAGCTCTATCTCTGTTCCTTTCTTTGTGCCCAATGCGAAAAACAGAGCAAGTATGTACTCAGGACAGATGGAGAGCTGGCTGCAGTGCTGCTGCTGCTGTATGTGTGTGTTTGTGTGTGTGTGTGTGTGAGCGTGTGAGTGTGTGGATCTTTGTAAGAAAAAGTTGATTGGTGTTCCTTGACGTACTTTCCTACAGGATGTATTACCTAAATACCTGCAAACACAAATCTTTTAAAAGTCATGTTATCACACAAAGTCCCTCTCCACTCAAAAGTGTGTTTTCCGTTTGCTACTTCAGTTGGATGTTTGACCTCCCAGAGTTTGACACTAGAAGGCTGTTTTTACATTCCTCTGCCAAAAGGGGAAGTTTCTCTGCCTGAGTTTAAAACATGCATGTACGAGCAGGATTTTGTGACATCACAACTAGTTCAGCAGCCAACTGTGATCGAATGTGCAACTTACACAAGTGCGATGCAGACGATGTAAATTTGAAGTCTTCAGTGCAAACACACTGAATAGACGACATTTTCCAGTGGCTAAACAAGTGGCCACCTTATTCTTTGTTGAATATTTGCTTTTAGCTTCATTTTGTAAATGAGTCAGGAACAATTAATGTTTGACACAAAGAAGTGAGATTTACAGAGTGTGTTAATGATAAATAAACAGTAGCTCAAGTCTGTCAATTATTCAAGTTATCAGCTGCAGAGGTCAGACTACTGTACCTCTTCACCAATCACTTTAGAGAAATGTTCTTCAAGTGCGTATAATTGTACTTACAGGGAAATAATTAAATATTTTTTATTCATGTAGGCTGACATGCACAAAGACAGTATACTTCTCTGGCTTTAATAAAACAGCACTAAAACTAGAATTTGTCAGATATGTTTATGAAGTCAGATCCCTATCTGTGGGTCCATTCCTGTCAAACATTTTCAGACCTGTAGTAATATTGCTTGTTCCATTGTTTTGAGGAATTTGTGGGCTCATATCAATGCTGAGCTCAGTGCAGAGATGTGTGTGTGTGTGTGTGTGTGTGTGTGTGTGTGTGTGTGTGTGTATTTCTATTATGTCACAGTGATGATGTGGCGTACTAGGGGCCTCAGCCCAATCCTCCCCATCCATGTTGAACGTGCCTGGTCACAGCAAGCTGCTGAGAACCTCTGGATCACAGGGGCTTCTGGGTAGTGGGATTAGCTGGTGAGAGGAAACAGCTGAGGCCTGTGTAGTGTCAGCACTTGCTAATCATCACTCCTACCGCACACATACATGCACGCCAACCCCAATCTATGCTCTCCCTCAATAATCCCCTACTCCTTTTTTCAGGCTGCAGGGGTCAGACACCCACAAAAGCCTGGGCCCATAAAAGTCAAAGGGGGCCAGGGGTGCAGTGGGGTAGGGGGCGACTAAGGGGAGGGGAGGGGAGGGGACAAAGGCACACTGAAGTGCTTGGTCAAAGCTGACAGGGCTGCTGAGTCAACACTGATGCTGGCTCAAACTGATAATGTGCAAAACATTCACAGCAAAGTTGAAGAGGTGTCAAGTTGTATTTATTAGTTTTGGGTAAAGGTTTGGAAGCAGTTTCTCCTTTCTTTACACTACAGTTACTGCAGGTTCCTGCATCACTTGGGGCATTTAGATCTCGAAAAACTGCCAGGTTCAGTTTTTGTGTTACGTGTACTTTTCCAGAGATCACTCTGTGCATTTGGTTCCAGCTTGACCTACGAGACATAAGAGTAGTACAGTGTTTTCACATCCAGCATAATCAAATTTGCTGTGCTCTTGTGTGCACATATGCTCGTACTTTCTAACTAAATCAATAAGTATAAAACCTGGTTGACGTGATACAAACGTCAATACACTTCGGGTAAGATCAATTGACTGCTTATGAAACATACTGTTGAACCTTATAAATAGGTCATGTGTAAACATACTGGTACCAGACTGAGAGCAGCTCTTTTTAAAAACAGAAAGTTACAACCTATGCAAGTTAAACATTTACTTCCTGAAACAAATCATGATGAAGTAAGTAATTCCTTCTACAAAGGGATTGGCAATATGTATCAAAATGTTATGTAAATGTTGAAACATTTGTGAAAAGTAGTGCAAAGTAATTATTTGCTGCTTGAACATTGTGTATTGGAGATTACATAAGATTAATGACAATTAGATTACATTTAAGTCTCAGGCTGATACCTTGTCCCCCATCCCACTGCAGCAGGCCAGCATGTCCTTTCTTATGCATGTATGAATCAAAAGGGATCAATAAATCAGGTGTTTTGCTATTTGTTGACCTGTGACTGTGGTTCACTGTGGCCTGTAGCCCTTAACTCGTTTCAGGTTTCACTGAGATTTTCCTAGAGAGTGCTGTGACTCTCCAAGTCTGTTTTTAAAGGCTGCAACAGCAAAATGATGATTTAATGTTTTTCCTTTGTGCGCACTAATTTATAATGATCTGGTTTATCAAAAATATGTAATTTAATACGATTTCAACAGCCAATTGAGCCTGTTCATTAAAAGATATGCTCTGCAATTTCAAAACCCACCTGCTTTCTATAAAATTTTTTGCCAAGACACATCTGATTTGAGGGATTTTATTACATTACAGTAAAATCCAAATGAGCCTAAAATACAAGGTAAGAAGCATCTAAATTATTTGGTACTCTGAATCACTCACACCTCAAGCTGTCACATAAGTGGTACTTAAGCAAAGAGGAAAGTGCAGTTTTTCTTGCTGGCTTTGCTTCTATTCCTCTGCCCAGAGGAATTCCCAGTTACCCCCTGGAAACTTTGTTCAGGAAAGACCAGTGTGCAAATGTACAACAGAATGAAAAGAGGAATAAATTCTGAGCCCTGCCACGTTTATCTCAGTTTTGATTACAATAACGTTCTGTTGTGATTCCATATCTTGACATAAAAATGGACACATGCCATAAAAAACAACTTTAGATATAAGGGAAGTGATTTTTTCAATCAATTTCCAACTAGGGCTTATTCAAGTCTTTGGGCTTTACTGTCATGCAACTTTCTGTGCAGTTTTTAAACCACCTCTAGGGGCAGTGTTGTACCAATTTTGAGAGGATAATCTGGGAGAGAGTGGCAACCTGTGTGCTAATCTGAAACTGCCATGACCCAAATAAAATACTTCTCGATCAGGGTAAAGTAATAATGATTAATCATTTTCAGCTTCAGTTTGCTCTTCAGTTGAGGATATGTTTTCTTGTAATTTAGTCAAAGATTGGTGCTCAGACATAACAAAGGGTAATGTTATAAATTTGTACTTTTATCATCACTTATTGAAGTACATTTATGAATTGGCACAATTGTATAATTGTGTTACTTCTTGCACATACACACAAAAAACAAAAAATCACATTAAAGTCCTTTGTAGTTTAGAACAAAACGTTTATTCAAATCAAAAGGAAGAACTAGACAAAAGGTTAAATCATTGAGAACATAGCATATTCATGGAATATCTATACACCATATGATTAACAGACAAAAAAAAAAGATAAATACAAACACAAATGGAGAATGAAGAAAATTCAGTGAGTGATATTGCACTTTGTTTCTAAAATGTTGCAGATCCTGTCTCCCAGGTTCTTTATCTCTGAACATTTCAGTTCCTGCCTTTATTAGGTCAGGAGTTTAGCTTAGTTTTGACACTGGACTACTCTGATGCCCAAGCAAATGGACTATGGAATTGACCAACCTGAAACGAATGTGAGCTTATTCATTACCGTGTAGCTTGATTCAGTTTCCCCAAGATACCATCAAAACAAAGAACTGCAAAAAAGTAGAACATGGGTTTACCGTGGAAGAAGTGGTCTGTCTGCTGTTACCTAAATGTTTGGCGGGGGCGTTGGGTGCTGATCAACAGCTGCCAACCCCAAGCCTGAGGGGGATCAGAGAGATCCGGGAAACTAACTCAGAAAGGTCGCTTATTAAACTGGGAAGCAAACAAAATCAATGCCCAGGAATACAGGGGGGGGGGGGCAAAAATTATAAACAACCCTCATCAGCTTCAGAAACATAACACAATCAAGAGGCTAGTCCAGGATGTCATGTTTTCACACTTGCTTCTTTATCCCCCCCTTCCCTTTTTGTCCTTTTGAACATGGAAAGGTCAAAAACATACAGATGTGTACAAACATAACATAAGGAGAACAAGAGTTAGCACAGACAGTGAAAAATGAAGAATCATGATCAGGTCTTTTCTTTGTCAAGGCCACTAAGATAAGATCACTTTAATAATCCGCAGTTTGTTGATTACTGTCAGAAGCTGTATATTAACTTGTCAGCTGGATCTCGATAAGAGCGTGCACACACACACACCACATACAAACTGGTGTCAGTTACGTTTAAACTTTTTTTAAAAAGTCACTAATCTAACAAAAAAAATTAAAATAATACATTAACTTCCTACACAACAATGCTTTAGTGAAAAATCCTCTAGTATAACATGGTTAGTACCAAATGGTTCTTCTCCAGACCTTCACCATTGAATGCTTTTTTTCCCTTGTCTTATTTTCTTATCAAAAAGGTGCTGCTTTTCCTTTTTCCTGACTATGTCAAACCTCTGCTGCAGCTGGTCTTTAGTGTTGAATGAGCTAGAAAACAAATGTATTACTCATGTCAACCTACTACTACTACTACTACTACTACTACTACTACTACTACTACTACTACTACTACTACTTGTTCTGACCAGTCTCAGAGGTTTAGCAACATCCCCAGCTTTTTATTTGTGCTGGGTTTGCTTCTTTAATGCAGAAGCAGTGTCATTCCTTCTTTCTTTCTTTTTTATAGCTAGCATTCTGGCTTCACTGGTCTGGTAAAATCTAACTGTTGGTTGGATGAACTGGGCAAGTGCAGCAGGACAAAAAGGGAATGTGATTAATCTCAGAAAGCTGCCTTGCTATTCTCTCGTTTTGGTAGTGAAAAAAAAAAACAAAAACCCTCTTCATTATTTTTAACAGTGCAATTTAAAAGAAAACCTATAACAATTTTCTCCCCCCCCTCCAACCGTTTGGCAAGTGAGAAGACCACCTGAGACAATGCTTTTTGGGCAGTTATGCAAGCCTGGTTTACCCTGAGATTGGGAGTAGAGGGGCTGCAGGCAATCAGGGTGAACCCTCGACAATGTACCACCCTCTGTGAGTCACACACACACTCACTTTTCTCTACAACTACAATGCGAGTGGCAAATGCAGGTCTGCAACCCTCCTAGTCCAAATCCAGAACAAGCGCAACACAAAAAAACACTAAAAGCTATTTTATGATTGGAGCTAAATACATAAACAGAATGACAGAACTAGACTAAAAGAGGAGGGAAGCCACAGTTGGATCCAAACTGAGGAGGCAAAAGCTTAAAGAGCTTTCAGATCAAGATAGTGTGCTGCAGTTGCTGTAGAAGTCCAGCCTAGTTGTAGAAGTCACTGAGGAAATGTCATTAGGAGAAGAAGAAAATCCTTAAACGAACAGCTTAAAACGAATTCAGTGCATTGTTCTTGTCCTTTTCAGTCTTTTTTTTTTTTTCAAAATCAAAGCTGCTCAAAGTTATGCAAATGAAAGTCTTAAAAGTTAAGCCTGCAGTCTCATATTCTTAGTCTGGTGCACTACAAGGCTGAAACCAAACTATTAGTGATTTTTTTATTTTTTTTTTTTAATTCTCATTAAATGGAGCCACACAACTCAAGTAAAGAAGAAAATGTGCAAAACAAAATCCCAAATGAGACAGAAGGGCCTAGTCTTTGCTCTGTTGTTGACTGCCGAATGCTGTCATTCATTCCGACTATGGTGGTTAGAACGTGGTGGTTATTTTTCTCTTTTCATCCCGTTTTCTTTAGGTGATTCTGATTCTGCTGAAGTCTGGACATGATTAGTCCTACCCTTTGTGTGAGGAGCCATGTCCTTATGTGCCATGAGTACAGAAGAATCAAGGGTTAAAGAGAAGCTTGGCAGGTCGAGCCTGGCTGATTCTTTCTTTCATTGTCAATAGGATCACCAGGGCTCTCACTACTAGTGGGGTTTTTCGTACAGACTGAATATGTGTTCATCTGTACATTTCCCACCCTCAGCAGGCTGACACAGGAAGGAGGTGGTTCCCCCAAACTAGTGGCTCCTGTTTCTCCTTCTGAGGGAAGGCGGGAACAGATTTGTCCAACCCAACTCAACTGTGGGTATTTGTCCAAGTATTTGTTGGTTTGTTGGATGCTTTGTTTTTCTCTTGACTTCAACAGCGTTGTGTTGTTGGAGAAAAATAAACAAAGCTGAGCTTTGCAAGCAGGTTACTTCGAGTTTCCCCAGAGTCATGGGAATTTCAAGAATAGCCATCAGCGCGATGGACAGGCGTCGATCCTGCGCTCCTCTACACAGCTGGCATGATGTGGGTTAGGATCGATCTGGAAGAGAGAACAGAAAACAGGGGTTTATTTATTGACACACAAGAGCTGATTTAGTCTGTGATAGAAAAAAAAAAAATTAACTGACAAATACTTTGCCCCATCTATTGTTTGGTGCTTACCACAGAGTACAGAGGAGGAGGCTGGAAGCGGAACTCATGAATATAGGCGAAGAGAGGTCCGTCCAGCTCCTCACGGGCTGCTGGGACATCCAGACTGCTCTGCCTCTGTTCTTCTGTCACAATTTCTGCATAGCTTGGAGGAGCTGCAGAAGAAGAGCAAACCACATGTCAGCATTTGAGGGAATTATACTCATAATAGAATAAAAAATCTGAATCATGACCATTCGCTTCAACCTACCTTCAGGCCTCTCGGGCAGACCCATGCCCAGCCAGCTCATGCTGCACTGGCTGCTGACACTGGAGGTACGGGAGCCGAAGGGGTGGAGAGGGATGGTTCCGATGACCAGGGGCAGGTTCAGGGACAGGTTTATTGCCCCAGGTATGTCCACGTACACCTGAGCACAGACATGAGGACAGCAGGTTAGAATGTGCATGTAATTCTGAGGTATAATAAATGAGCTGCAGTAAAGTAAAACAAAAGCTTTGAAGTAGAGAATTCAGCATTAAATGAAACAGCTTTTTAATCTTCTATAACAGAAAACCATGCTAGTGGGGGTTAAAAGGGCTGTACATTCATTCAACAATATGTAGGTCAATGTCTTGAAGTAAAGGCCTCGCACGCTTCCTGTCTGTTTGCAAGGTAAAGAGGTTATAAGCACCCTCAAGGCAGGTGTTACCAAAGATATTCTGGGCTAATGCTCTTAGCAGCATGTGGAGAGAACACCTGGTGCGAGACGAGGCCCAGATTTGGCACTGTGAGCTGAGTCAGCCAGGTCCTTTACCAGGAGAGTTATAGGCTTACTGGGAAATATTGATTCTGTGCTAATAATGTTACTGAGTAATGGTGTTGATGCTAAGGACCAGAGGAGACTGTAATTAAGGTCTATGCCACTTATCACTGGACATACGCAAAGATGCAACCGAAAGGAAAGGGCAGTTATGCTAAATGTTTGAATGCAGTGTGAGAGTGGCCCGGCTACAGTAAGACTGTACTCACCATGAGGGAGTACTCTACCCTGATAATGCTGCAGTCCAGGATAGAGGGTGAGACAGGTGGGATCTTCAGCATTTTGCCACTCCAGGTCTCTGTTTTGCCCGAGGACAGAGACTCTCCCCGCAGGTTGGCCACCAGCTGCTTGACCTCCTTCATCTTCCCTTTGGCATAGAATGTCTGTGTCTGGTAGATGGCTGCCTTCGGCACCACCATGCGGGAAGAGCAGTTCTCAATCTCAGCAAAGATCTGGATCGACTCTCCTATAGAGTTTGAGAGGGTAGAGGAGAGATTAAGTGAAGTTTCTCTACATTTCTGTCAACGGTAATCATCTTTTTCTCCAGTGTGTAATTACTAATCAACGCAGGGATCTGCAGTGTGATACTTCCATTAACTTATCTGGTTAACAGTTAAATAACAAGGTTATCAGTTGAATTATTAATCATTAATTTATTCTCACCTGGGGTATATCCCTTCCTTTCAATTTTGGCACTTAGGGAAATAGGACCTGAGGTGCAGAACCAACAGCAAAGAGTCTTGTCTTTTGTGCCGGCCTGTGGTGACTGAAGAAAAAAGAAACACATTAGCAAATATATATGGAATATTTTCCTTCATATTCCCCGCCACAACCAATAAAAAGTGGTTAATAATAACACATTGGCTAGTTTGTTCCTATCCATTGAGTAATAAGTCAAAACTAGACAATGTTTGCTCTTTGACATTCAAGTCATTCAAGATTTAATTTTCCACAATTCAGCATAAATTGAAACAAGACACACATTGAAGCCGGCAAGAAGTTATTAAAATTCTTTCCAAAGTTGCCCCATAATTAAGAAAAGGAGGTCTGAGTGTCATGAGTCTCAGACACAAAACTTAGGGCTGCCTCAACAGAACTTACCAACAATAATGGAGTGTTGATGTCAATGTGCTCAAAGACTGTAAATTCCTTCTTGGTCTTCATGGGCAGAAGCCATGGCCTGTGGAGTTCTGCCTTCACCCAATAGCGCACACTGCCATGTTTCCCTTCAAAAGAGGTAGCCAGAGGTCTACAGGAAAGAAGGAAGGAAGACAAAGAAGAGAAAAGGGTTATTAATTGTCAAAAGCTCACACAGGTTACAGCGATACTGATATAACCTCTGACTTGAGTGTAGCATGAAGACACTTACGTCTGTGGAAGCTCAAGGCTGAATGCATACTCATGTCTTCCTGAATGAATAGTGGTGAGTCCTTCCTCAGAGTTGTCATCGTCTGAAAAACAAGGAGGAAAAGATTCCAAACACATGTATACCATACCTGAGAAAAATGCTCTACGTAGGCATCTGAAAGTCATACCAAAAACACAGGGTGGGGGAGACAAAAGAGAGTAAAGGGATTTTACTATCACATTTGTCTGTGGAAAAAAAAATAAAAATAAAAAAGATGTATTGAGAGATAAGCAGCAGACCGATATTTAGAGGACACCAAAGAAGTTGATAGTTTAAGGTGCCAGAAACTGAGTGTGCAAGATTGTGCTTTGGTATGAACAAAGAACTACATCAGAGATCCCATTGTGGCATTTATGATGTAAATACATAAGCTATGATGGGTAAAACGGGGCTATATTGGTCAATGATTATTGGGTAGATAAATCTGCCATAAAACAACAAATTATTTTCTTTTCATCTCTGGAATAAAAAAAATAAAAAAAAGATGCTCTTGTTTTTCAAGAGGGAGGAGAGGACGCGTCGTCAAACTGCTCAAAATGTTGTAAATGATTTCTTTTTTTTTTTTATTAAACGTTTTTTTAAACATGAAGAGTTGGGGCCACCGGCCGGGCATACTTCTGCCAGCTCAGCACTCCCTCCCCCTACCAGCAGACGTGTGGTAAACAAGTGCGGAGCTGTCAGTCAAACTGCAGACTCCAGCAGGAGGAGACCGGCCTAAACCGGTGTGAGCAGCTTCCCACAGCCGCTCTGCTCTCATTACGCATTCACTGTGCGACGCCGCAGTCACCACTACCAGTGCAAGTTCTTTGCTACTACTGCACAAGCCTGATCCAACCACCAACTACCGCAGTTTTCCACCGTTTCACCCACTTCACCATCACAGAACATGAACCATCAAGAGCAAAATGCGCAGAATATGCGGCAATGCATCTCCTTTTAAAACTCAGCCCTGCAAATAAGGAACATTTTTGCTGTACAGTTTGCCTTAAAATGACTAAATCCCTGACCGTCAAGCGGAATGACAGCTAGCCAATCCCAGTTCAGCTACTACACACATATTAGGCTGCTGCAGAGTGGATCAGAAAATATTGGTCTATTCAATGATAAGATAAAGATGCTGCAGATGGACAAGCTTAACCCAAACTATTAAAGGCATTCATGCAAATACAGACGCTCTCAAGGGTTTTTTTAACTCTCAAAAACGTCAACCCTTCAGTGACACCAGTTGTGTTGGGATATACCGGGACGTACGTCTCAACCACAAAGCTGCTTACAGCATAACCCAATTCGACGTCATTTTATATTCCAGAAAAACGCATGTGCAGATTATGGATGTATTCATTTTAAAAATGCAGCTTTGCAGCTCTGCCCCGACTTTTCATTCAAACTGCAGATACTTCTGTCGACTCGGTCTATTTTGCAGGTGTTCTCTTAATTAAAAAGTTGCAGAATTTTCTGTCACTCTCTGCAAGACCGTGATGTCATTGGCCACACATGAGTATCTCAGCCAATGACACACAGGCGAGGGAGGCGCGTGCACTTTGCTCCGCCCCTTCCTGGTCCAGTTTTCTGAACAGGATTGAACCGCTTTGAACAATGGGTGGAAACTTGAGAAAAGCTACAAAGAAACACCCAAAATGATGCGTTTCTGAATTGGAAATATCTAACAAAGCTGCACATAGGCCATACATCACTGCCAGTTATTACTCTAACGTCCTGCGTCTCAAAAAATTAGTATAATCCTCGCTGTTCACTTGAAATACTGTGAAAAACACAGTTGCCTGAGCTGCTGTCATCCATTCTGACACCTTGACACAAACAAGTAGCCTAATGATGGAGCTGGATCTGGCAAATACCACGAATCACATTTATACCAATACCACCATATAAAGAAGCAGTAATGTGAACGTTATCCATATCTATGTGCAGGCTTTATTGTGTTATCACTGTATCTGGCATTCAGGACAACAGCATCCCCCAGTGAACCTGATCCTTAAGAAGCACAAAGAGCATCTAAGTTCCTCTAAAATTTCTGCTGAAAATAATTTAAGAAACTCTTACCTCTCTCGTGTCCAATTAAGATATCTTTGTGGTTTAGATATTCCACTTCTTCTGTGTAGTTTTGCGTGTAGGCAGTGTTGGATCCAGCATTTCTCGATTCAGTCCAACGAACTTTTGCAAATCCTTTTGCGTGGATTTTGAGAGATTTCACACGGATCTCTCCAGTGACTTCGATAATCACCCTTCCTGAGACGCTGTCCCCGCTGGAGAAAACGGGAACATTGCTGTCATTGAGACAGTCGTAGCTTACTGTGAAGCTCTTTACCTTTCCTAGCACCATGGTGGAAAGAGACAGGCTACAGAGACCTTCAAATAAAATAAAAAAAGTCTATGAAAAAATAATCTCATAAGAAAAAGGGATGCAGTTTTTAGACACTGATCAGTATCTCTGCCCTGCAAAAAGCAGAAGGCACGATCAGTGGCTTCTCTGCGAGCAGTTCATTGAGATGCGTGCTGGCTGAATAACAGCAAAGGATGCTGTTATCATCCGCCTCTCTGCTAGTTGGTCTCCAGTCAAAGACAAGGAAACCCCCGTTGCTCAGCTCACTTTAAGCGACAGGCTGTGTGAAAAACAACCTTCAGCGCATGCGCAGGGCTGCACCGTCTGCCCCCTCCTTCCGCCTTCTGGAACAAGGCGGAGAGGGACGGGTGGCACTGAGCCAGGTGAGAAGTCCGGTCAAACAGCTGAAAGACTGCACATAGAAATGTTCACCACAGGTTTAAAGGTGAAACTTGACAGGTCATTTGTTATTATTATTATTGTTATATAGTATTATATGTAGGCTACACAGGAAAACATCCTCCCAAAGTTCTCATCCCAAGTTGTTTTAATTCTGAGATGATATGAGTAATATCATGTTTGCTGATTGAACTAAAAAGAATTGAAAACGGTCTTCAATATGTGATTAGGCCTGTATAGTAACCATTCATAAATAGTAGGCTACATCAACTCAATCTATTTTATATGCCTAACAGCTCCCAGCCTTATGTCTAGACATATGGCTTAAGTGTCTGTGATATAGTCGATTCATAGGGTCTCACATAGCCCCATGTCCAAGCTCACCAGGACGTCTACATCCATATGCAACCAACAGAAAACAACAGCTGAATCGTGCATGATGACTGCAGCATAGACCGTGTAGAATTGCTAGGATACTTTGTAGTGTTATTATTTAAGGGGTGAGAGGGTTCGCACACTTCCAGAAAAAGGTTCCCAAATATTCACCTATCACACTTTGTTATTGAATTAAGGATCCTTGTACATAGGAGGGGTTGGGATTTCTCATTGTGTTGAACTCACGGTTTAGAGAAACTCTGAGGCTCAAAACGCCACTTGGTGGCCATCGTGGCTTCTTCAATGATCTTCAGTATCACTTGTTGAACAGCACTGTAACTCATGAATTGCAAACAATTCATGTCTGGCCCTTTCAATGCCAGTTCATTGTGATTATTTACAAGGTGCCACATCAATTGCGAAGCAAATTTCAGCGCTATTGGATAGCATTTGATTAATATTGGGTGGCGTTTAATCAAAACCCGATAGTTAAAACAAATCAAAACCAAATGATTACTAATCATATTTCATGCAACCTCTTATAATTTAAGAAAGTGCATCAATTCACCTTTCACACCAGCCAGTCATGAGCTGCTATTTGATTTCACCATTTATTAACAACATATTAGGTTTTTCACAGATCGTAGCAGTGCCAGCTCAACAACGTTGCTGGCACCTACCTCAAGTCATTACTCCTGCACAAAATACTTTACCAGCATCCTTTGCACTATGCTTCATGTATTCATGTGTACATGTGTACATGTATGCATGTATATGTACCTGTATATCACATCCCCCGAGGTATGTACATACATGCATCCTTTGCACTCTGCTCACTGCACTATTTGTCAATATGTTTATATTGTTTTTGTTCATAGTGTGTATATTTGTGTTGTCTACACTGAAGTCTGTATGATTTTATTTTATTTTTTAAATTGTGATTTTGTATTTTTGTATGAGTAAGCACATCGTGAGCAATGCACAATCCAATCCGAGTCAAATTCCTCGTATGTGTACACATACCTGGCAATAAAAGCCTATTCTGATTCTGATTTTGGTTGCGCAGCATAGATGTTTTGTTAAAAGATGAATGCTGCCCTCTAGAGTTTCCAGTTTGTCATTACATGTGAACAAAAACCACATGTGTCCCTATATTAAACATTTATATGATTCATTTGTGGGATGATTGGCGGCAGTCGTGATGGGGGTCGAATATTTATGTTTATACGTAAAGTTTCTTTTTGAGAGAAACGATATTCAATTCGCACTGCGGACGCCTTCAATTTAAATTAAGCAACTCTTATTTTGAAAGGGTAACCGGGATGTTTATATCAAGTCCCAGAGACTCGAAAGGAACTTGCGCGTTCAAAGAGGAACACTTTCTGAATTTCTTCTCCGACGAATCTCATCTAATTCAGACACATCTCTTCTTTCATAATAGCAAATCATCAGAACTTGAAGGAGCTGAAACGCTGTCATGAATACAGAAGTGTTGGCTTTGATTGTCCTGTTTCAACTTTTTGATCAAAGTTTGGGCCAAAATGGAACCAGACCCAACGTTGTGATGGTGATGAGTGATGCATTTGTAAGTATGAATTAAGATACAGTATAGTGCTTTACTTCTGTATGGTAATTGCCACAATAACAGTAGCTTTTGTTAGGCTAGGGCATTGTAAGAGGGCAGGGCTACAGAGATGCTTTATTTTTCACAATCTTTGTGTGACTGTGTATCTCAGTGGCTTTGGGTCTAAATGTCAGTTTTGTTCTTTCTGCAGGATGGGCGATTGACCTTTGATCCTGGCAGCAAAGTTGTGCAGCTTCCATATACGAACTACCTCAGTGAGCTTGGTACCACATTCCTCAATGCTTACACCAACTCACCCATCTGCTGCCCCTCAAGAGCAGGTCATTTACCCACTGAAATACTCTGGGGATTTATCTTTAAATTGATAATATAAATATATTGTGGTATTCAAGATTGTAATATAGGTGGAATAATGAATGTAACTATTTAATTTCTTGGTCTCAGCAATGTGGAGCGGTCAGTTTGTTCACCTCACTCGGTCATGGAACAACTACAAGTGCCTCGATGCTAATGCAACAACATGGATGGATTTGCTGAAGGCGAACGGATATCTTACCAAGATAATGGGCAAGCTGGACTACACCTCAGGCAGTCACTCTGTCAGGTAGGCAGATATTGCCAGAAATATGGACGAGAGTGTAAAGGTGAATCTCAGATAAATGTTGTCTCAAATAAGAAAACCTTTTCATATTCCTGTTCACCAAACTAAGATCAGTAAACAACCATACACACAGAAGAATTGTTCGTTCCACAGCAGTGTGAATCATTCTTTTAGCTGCTTCTCCTCACGTGTTTTTTTCCACTTCCCAAGTTTTGTGTCTCTGTCTGCATGTGCCACTTCTGCAGTAATCGAGTTGAGGCCTGGACACGAGATGTTCAATTTCTCCTGCGCCAAGAGGGCCGGCCTGTTACACAACTTGTTGGGAACATGTCAACAGTAAGGATCATGAGAAAAGACTGGAAAAACACAGACATGGCTACCCAGTGGATCCACCAGAGAGGTGCATCCTCACACCAGCCCTTTGCTCTTTATCTTGGCCTCAATTTACCTCACCCATATAAAACTGAATCACTGGGGCCCACTGGAGGAGGATCCACCTTCCTTACCTCACCATACTGGCTGAAAAAGGCATGCTTTTTCTTTCCCTGTTTCTCCATTATTGTATGTTGATATAGATCACTATAAAATATAAAGCAGTTTTTATTTCACATACACAGGTGTCTTCTGAGCTCATCACTGTTCCTAAATGGCTGCCCATAGCTGCCATGCACCCTGTTGACTTCTACTCCACCTTCACCAAAAACTGCAGTGGTGTTTTCACTGAGGAGGAAGTCAAACGCATACGGGCTTTCTATTATGCCATGTGTGCTGAAGCAGATGCCATGCTGGGTTAGTTGACATTGTATTTCACCAGTGGGTGATCTCTCTCTAACCGTGGCCTTTTGGACTCACAAAAATGGCTCAAGATCAAACCGAACTCTTCTCAAATGTTCAATCAAACTGTTGCCAAGATAACTAAGACCAATTGTGCAAGGAGCAGTTCGTTTGTTCAGGTTCACAGACACATACATGTACTGTAAAGAAAAAAAACATGAGTCACCATTCTTACAGGATCCAAACATAGACAAAAATAAAAGTACTAAAAGGAAAGCAGACATAGAGAGACTTTCTGCAATAACATTTGCAGCACAGCTAGTGTACCACTCTGGCTATAAAACAAGACATAGCAAAGCAGGCAGGTAGCCAGATTGTAGGCGTATCAGTAATAATATATAAAATTTAGAGTGTAACTTGCACTGGATTTAGCATAGCAGTGTCACTGTGCGGCCTGTCAAAACATTTGGCTACTTTGACTTGAATAACTCTCAGTGAAACCTCTCTTACCTTAACCTCGCTTAAAAAATGCTTTTTCTAGGCACTATACTATGAAAGTGTCATATATAAGTGAAAACTTCCCTAATGACAGTAATTAGGCTTTTATTTAATCTGCACACTCCTTTCTGTATCTGCAAGAGAAGCATATTGTCCATTTTCATTGTAATAGTTTTTCTTCATTCACTTTCCCTCTCAAAGTAAGTTAATATATTAAGATTTGAAAGACATATTAACGTCTATACAGTCATTAAGGTCTAGAGTACTTGTCCAGACCTTAGTCTGCAATGAGATCCTGTTTACCATCACTTTATCCAGTCACTACTGTTTGAATAATGTCTCTCGACTGAATTAAGTTAAGATCAGCAACAGCTCAATGCTTACTTTGTGATTCCTACACCCTCTGTCTCTCCAGGCCAGGTGATTTCAGCTCTGAGAGAGAATGGGCTGCTTAACAACACTGTTGTGATCTTTACGGCTGACCATGGAGAGCTAGCCATGGAGCACCGGCAGTTTTACAAGATGTCGATGTTTGAAGGCAGCTCCCATGTTCCTTTGCTGGTCATGGGGCCTGGGCTTATGTCTGGCCTGCAGGTCAACCAACTTGTGTCTTTGGTTGATCTCTATCCCACTGTGCTGGGTAAGGAAGTAGACAAAAAGACATAGAATTTAAATGTCTGTAAAAAAAAATTCTAAATCAGTAAATGTCTGTCTAGTTTCGGGTTGAATAATTTAACTTGATGTAACACGCTTGTGTATTCTGTAGACATTGCTGGTATTCCAGCACAAGGTATCCTCAGTGGCCATTCGCTCCTTCCTCTGCTATCCAAGGCAAGCGCTTTTTCAAACAAGCAACATCCAGACTGGGTTCTGAGTGAATATCATGGTTGTAATGTCAATGCCTCTACATACATGCTGAGAAGTGGCCGGTGGAAATATATTGCCTATGCAGATGGCCTGAGTGTTCCCCCACAGCTTTTTGGTGAGTTTGTAGCTTCAGAAACCTCACTTCAATCACACATATGCTTCCAAAAAGAATCATAAAACTATGTCTGCCTTTGATTTTCTGTACTCTCTGTGTTTTGCAGACGTAACACTGGACAAAGAAGAACTTCATAATGTAATTCTCAAATTCCCAGATGTGCGGGCACACCTGGACAAGCTTTTGCGCAGCATTGTAGATTATCCAAAAGTTTCTACAGCTGTCCATCTCTACAATAAAAAAGCATTTGGTGTCTGGCGCCATAGTTTGGGGAGAAACTACAGCCAGGTCATTGCTAACCTCAGGTGGCATGTAGATTGGCAAAAAAATGTGTTAGCCAATAAGAGAGCTATTGACAAGTGGCTCTATGGCTCAGTTTGAAATCTTTATGGTTAACTTTAAGGTGTCTGTTTTTTAATGAGATGGACTCTTTTACTCTCACATCTTAGACAACCAGAGAGCCAATAATGGGTAATATCAGAGTATCCTTTTTAATGTCCTAGGCTCACTCTATGACTGAATCTGGACTTTTACTTATACATCACATCTCTGACACGTATCCACCACCACACAAAAGTTAGACTTTCAGTGGGGATAGTGGGGAAGAATGTACATATCCTTTCATTATTTATTTCTTAATCCATTAATTTGTTTCAAATAAATACATATGTTGCTCACTTTTGTATATTTGTCTTTATTTTTATTCTTAAACAATCAGGTGGACACTTCTATGAGTAGACTACGCTGGAAGTCGTTTTATTTTGAAAATACGGAGTCGGCGTGAAGCTGCTTGTGTTACACTTCCGTGTCAGCCAACGAGAGCAGGGCAAGTTGTCAACGTAAACAGGAGCTGCCTCAAATTTTAGTTCACATTTGCAAACCCTATTTGTGTAACAGCTCAACCAACTGGACAAAAACCATCTTATGTATCAATTAAGGTTTGAAGCCAGTTCTCTTGCCAAAATACGTAACGTTAGTGTAGAGCCGCTGACAAACTCAGCTAATGCTAAAATGTGTTTAACGGTTGCTAACGTTAGCTAAAACTGCTAACAACACTAGTTAACGTTAAGTTAATATAAACTCTTGCTAACTAAGTCAAAAGTTTACTGTCAAGTCAGCTGTTAACCTTTTTGGCTCTTTTTTCACTCAGATAATTACAAGATGTCTAATAAAGAAGTGAAAACAGCATTGAAAAGTGCCAGAGAGGCCATAAAAAACAAAGAGTTCAAAGAGGCTCTAAAACACTGCAAGGTAACGTAAAAGTGAGGCATTTACATAAGGTATCGGCTCTTTATGTGCATATGTTCCAAGGAGTCTGGGTAATGAATAAGGCAATGTAGAGATGTATAGCTGCTGACTTTGCACTCTTCAATGTGGTTTTAGGCTGTTTTGAAACTTGAGAAGAACAATTATAATGCTTGGGTATTCATCGGCTTGGCAGCCAGTGAACTCGAACAGCCAGATCAGGCACAGACCGCTTATAAAAAGGCTGTGGAGCTGGAGCCTGAGCAGCTACTGGCATGGCAGGTAAGGAGCGTAAAATGGGTGAATTTATGAGGCTGAGGATGTTCATATTATATTACCACTCTCCCCAGGTCATTATGAACTGTGTCAAAAATGCATTTGTGTTTTAGGGCTTGGCAAATCTTTATGAGAAGACGGATCAGTGGGATTTCAAACTTGAGCTACCTAATGTCTATCAGAAGCTTGTTGATCTGTATGCAAGGTAAAACATGGGAAATTCTCTTCAGCATAATTTTTAACTGCAAAGGAAGTGATAATGCTAGTATTTACTTGCACCCACCCTGTGATTTCTTAGCAAAATATAGTTTTGACTAATTTAACACATTTGATTTGTAATGTTATTGATTCTCGTTATGTTTTCCATTTACAGCTCTGACAAAAATAAATGTTATGAGATGATCAAAAAGCTGTCAGATATCTATCAGTCTGACAAAGAATATTTAATGGTATGTATTTTAGAGGCACGTGCAGTCAGTGAAAAAAAACAACACTTTTTTGTGTTCTTTTCACACATTTGAATGCTTTTGTATGTTTGCATGTAGTTGGCAAAGGTTTGGCTGCAGCTCCTTCAGCTGAAGGAGGAAGAGGCTGTGAAAAAAAAAGAGTTACTGCAGCTATGGAAACAGATGACCCAACTCCTCTCAGACTGCCTTAATGAAGAAGAGCAGGACAATGAAACTCACCAGCATGTAAGGTTTCCCCAAATGTGGAAAGAAACTCAGCGCCGTGTTGTGTTTCTTTCTGCAACACATAAGAGTCCACCCTCTCCAATCTACTAGCCCTAAAGGGTTATAGCTCAAATCTCTCCCATTAATAGACACAAATGAAGATAATATTTTGAGTGCTCTTAATGTTGTATTTAATGCATGTATTTTTATGCCATCTGCCATTTGGTAACTGTTTTGTTTGTTCGTGGTCATCAGTTAATCACAGCATTTGAGAAGGCAATGGTTCTAATGGATCCTGTACCAGGGGAGGAACACAAGAAGGTGTCAGCTGACTATGTCAAATGTCTTTCTAAAGTAAGTGCACCTTATCTGATGTCTGTGTCACCACCACATAATTGCAAGAACAAGGTCTTCATGTTTATCAAAGATAACAGAAAAGTAGATACCTCATATTTAGCCCTGTACAATAATTTCCTTAATCAGCTGCTCCTCATGAATCTCGTCTTACCATAGCTGCCACAAGAAGAAGCTAAATTGAAAGAGGCATGCGAGTCCATGCTGTCCCTCTACCCTGACCAAAGTTATCCTCTTGAAGTCCTTTGTTCTCACTACCTCAAAACAGGTAGATACTGTTGTCAAAATCTAAAATCACAGAATGCAATGATTGATTTATAGATATTCAAGAGTTTTGTCCAATAAAATGCACTAAAATGTCACATTCAGGCATTGAGGGGAATCTTTGACTTTTGCAGTCAGTCTCACTAAATACATGCGGTGTTTGTATTTGAAGGTGTTCAGAACAAGGATGCAGTAAGCTGTTTCTCCCGGCTTCTGGGTCTGGTTCCTGACAGTGGATTAGGTCACTTGGGTCTGGGCACCAAAGCACTGGAAGAAGGAAGATTTAAAGATGCCATTAATTACCTTGAACAAGGTTAGTTTGCGTATCAACAAATTATAGACTCTTTCATCGGATGCGTTGCCAAGGTGACGTGCCCGGCCCGAAGTTAACTTCCGTTCTGTTTGTTTATCACTGGGTTTGTGTTTACTGGCTAATACGGTGAGTGATATCAAGTACAGTGTTTCCCATACATTCATTTATTTGTGGCGGTCCACCACATTATCAGCGCTGACTGCCGCCACGCTCGCCACAGTTACGCTGTCATTCTGTGGGAAACACTGCGGTAAATCAGACAGGTCGGTAGAAAAACATTCTTGTCTCAAATTTTTGTTCAGCAGGTCTGGTAGTGTGACCTTATCACATTTCAGTTTGGCCAAGTAACGATTCTTTTCTTAGACTGGCAGCTAAGGTTATTTACTTGTTATGTATTGCTTGCAGAAGTCTGCTGGAAGTTAAGTTTGGGCCAGAGTAACGAACATGCGCAGTACCGTTTGTTTATGTTGTTACTGTTGAAAGCGTCTATAGATTCTGTAATGTAAAAGGCTCCTGAAAGATTTATACTGAGATTTACACTTCATGACCATTGCTGTTTTTAAATAGATGCTAACTCCCAATGATCTGTCTCTTCTCTTTTATTAGGCTTGAAGAAAATGAGCTGCAGTATGGGATGGTACAGTCTGGCTGAAGCTCAGTTTAAAATGCACAGATACTCAGACAGTGCTATGTCATGCTCCCAAGGTATGTTTAGTCTTCTGTATATCACTATAGATGACCTCACAACAGCATGTAATCACTGATCCAGCTAGTCCAAAAGAATTGTCCAATCAGACTTCATCAAGAGTTCATTCGCAAATGAATCAAGGATGTTTACAACCGTCGGCAGCTGTTTTTTGTCCCCGAAGCAGATACTGAACGTCACTGTGTTTCTGGTTCTGTTAGGTCTGACAGTGTGTGTGTCCGGGGATAAAGAGCTGAGGGTCAAACTGCTTAGGCTGAAACTCGAGGCTTTAGTCAGGAGTGGAGGAGAGAAGGCAGCAGACTCTGCTCTGGAGACATTTTCACAGGTAATGTGATTGACTAATACTATTTAGCATGTTGTATGTTCTCTAATTTTGAATTTAGATAATTATGTATTAAGTAATTCAGCATTAAAAGTGTTTTGTTTGTTTTGGGTTTACTATGAATCTATTTTGCAGCTGTAACCTTGGACGTACATGTGTAGTCCCACTTATTATCGTAAATATCCTATTTGTTTGTTGTCTTTTCTTTTTTTAGATCCCAGATGCTGGAGAAGACCTAGTTCTAGTAGCCCTTAAAGGACGTGCATACCTTAACAAGGGACAAATTGATGAAGCACTTAAGGTTGAAATCCTTTTACCTGTTGATTTCTGTCTGGGAAAATTTCAGATTGATAGGAAACACATTATTGCAGTAAATAATTTAATGTGTAACTTTAATAGTAATAAAAATAATAACAGCGTGAAATACATGTCTGTCTCTTGTGTTAGACACAAGATAGGATTGTGCAAAGTGAACTATTGTGTCATCATGTAGGTGTCATCAGAGCTGGTGGCATCTAACCCTAACCTGGCTGAGGGCTTGGTACTGAGAGGACTGGGTCAGTTGGCTCAGGGCCAGCAGCAGCTGGCAGAGGAAAGGTAAAAACTGCGTGTTTCTTTTTGTGTGCATGTGTGTTTTTAATCTAGCACTGCACACTGTCAAAAAATAAAATAATTTGTGTGGTGCAAAAAGGTTTAGTTCTCCACGGTCAACTTTTCTCTCTTCTGTTGTTTAGTTTCCTAAAGGCAGCTAGCCAGAGCCCAGACTGTGGAGAGTACTATTTCTTGCTGGGACGACTCTACTGGGACATGGGAGAAGAGACCCGTAAAGACCGAAGCAAAGCTCATACACATTTGCTCAAGGTTATTACAATTATTGAAATTTTGAAATTTGTGGTAGGTGAGGAGATTTGTATTCTGAGATATATTCATTTATACTCACTAAATCTCTCAAATATCAAAGATAAAACATTAAAACTTAAAGCTAGGGTAGGCAGTTTATTTCAGAAGCAAAACAAAACAAATCTATGGCTGTTGCAGGACTGTAATAAGCAAACACAGCCAATCATTTCCTTCCTGTCTAACTGCCTCCCTGCGTGCACTCTGTCCGTGCACTCATTGCATGTGAAAAAGTGTTTTGGGGGAATGGCTTCAGAAAGAGGCGTGCAGGATGGGGTGGGATTTACTCGGTTAAATACTTTCAAAGTCTTGCTCTCTCTTGCTAGTTTCTCCAACGTTGCCTAGCTACCCTAGCTTTAACTCGTGCACAAATAAACTTGGGAAATGTCACAACATGATTTTTATTGCCTGAAGTCAAGTGAAGTGCCAAATGTTATCTTAGTTTGAAAGCTTCCTTTCTCCATTTCAGGCTGCAAAGTTAGACCCACAACTTGGTTGTGTATTCCGCTACCTTGGACATTATTACAGGGAGGCGGCAAATGATCGTGGCCGGGCACGGGGCTGCTATAAGAAGGCTTTTGAGTTGGACAGCGATGATGCTGAGTCTGGAGCTGCCTCAGTGGATCTCAGTATGGAGCAGGACGATATGGTAATTTGTTGGCAAACCGTCACAAAATACCACAACGTTCATGTGCGGTGTTGGCACTCTGTTATAGTGTTTACTTAAAGGTGCCTCTCTTTTGTCTTGGACACTCCCATGTTCCTTTTTTACCTATCTTCCCTTTATATTTTCCTGTCCTCTTCCCTCAATGCTGCAGGACACTGCCTTAGCAGTACTTCAGTCAGTGATTGAGAAAGCCACTCCAGGCTCAGCTAAATGGGCTTGGATGAGACGAGGGCTATACCACCTGAAGGTCGGCGAGCATCAGCAAGCTACAGCTGAGTAAGAGTTTAAAATCTCAGACAGTAAAATGTATTATCTCAGGTCTTCAACGCTATCATAGGTATTGTAAGTGTGTAAGCATTATTGACCATTTAATTTATATTTAGTCTGCAGGCAGCTCTGAGAGCAGACCCTGAGGACTGGGTGTGTTGGGAGTGTTTAGGTGAGGCCTACTTAAACCGCCGGAGCTTCACAGCGGCTCTGAAAGCCTTTGGTAAGGCCCATCAGCTTCAACCCTCCTCCATCTACTGTGTCTATCAGGCTGCTGCTATTAAACAGACCCTGGGAAAGTTCACGGAGGCGGTTGCGGAATACTTGCAGATCACAGCACAGCAGGACTATGTTCCAGCTCTTAAAGGTAGGTGTTTGTATCAATGTATATTAATGTTGTGCTTTTTATTGCATATGTCTGAGAACTGAACCTGGGCATTTAAAAAAAAAAAAAAGATTGATATGATCTGTTGTTCAGGTCTTGGGGAGTGCCAGCTGTCTCTGGCAAAAAGTTTAATGGAAGACTGCAGAGATTGGGGAGCCATTGACCTCATTCAGCAAGCCATACAGAACCTCTTCAGGTAATGACTAGAGATTTGTTTAATTTGTTAATCTTAAAATAAGGGCGGCTGTGGCTCAGGAGATATAGCGGGTTGCCTGTTAATCGAAAGATTGGCGGTTCAATCCCCGGCTCCTCCAGGCTACATGTCGAAGTGTCCTTACTAGAATTGCCCCTGGTGGCTGTTCCACCAGTGTATGATGTGTGTGAATGTTAGTTTGTGAGTGAATGGTGAATGCAATGTAGTGTAGTGGTCGCAAAGACTAGAAAGGCGCTATACAAATACGGAGTGTTTACATTTACAAATGATGCCTTGTCTGTCTGATACACATTGTGAGTAAATAAATTTTCTGTGATTCATTACATCGCAGGATCACACAGACTGTTTCTTCGATTTCATTCATCTATCCTTCCAAATTTCTGTACTCATCAGAGCTGTGGAGCTGCGTCCAGACTTGTCTTGTTTGTGGAAGCTGCTGGGAGATGCTTGCACTGCAGTCAGCACCGTGTCGCCAAACAGAGCCACGGTTCTAGTGCCTGCCCTGCTGGCTGGTTTAGACCCCAGCACCCAGAGCCACAAACTGAACCAGGCCCAAACACTCAAAGTCGGTGAGAGGTATGACCACAAACAGGCCTTGACTTTTTCCGAGCTGCTTATACCATTGCTACTCTGTCAGATAATACATTTTTACCATCAGTACACTAACAAGTTGACACTGAATAGCTTTAATGCCATAAGGGTCTTTTTGTTGCCCTTGCATACTCAAGCATAGAATCTGCACACTGAACATTAATTTAAGTGCATCGTTGTGTCTGCAGGTGTTACGCCCGTGCTTTGAAGCTGATGTCTGAGGTCCCCAGCCTTTGGTATGACTTAGGACTCAACTATTACCGCCAGTCCAGTCTACCCTGCCTTGCAGAGGGTGACCAGAACTCCCCAACTCTGCTCCTAGAGAAGGCTGAGCAGGTATTTCACAGAATGCTGCCCAGCAACAGTTTAGCAACGTTTGCTCCCAGAGGTGGTCTTTTTAGAGTTTTTTTTCTCTCTTTTCAGTGTTTAAAAAAGGCTATTATGATGGACAGTGGGAACCATAGCTACTGGAATGCCCTGGGAGTGATTTCCATGAGCAAAGGTATTGCAGGTGATGCAGTATTGACTGCATCTTCTAAGTAGAGTATTTTATTTTAAAAAGCAAAAGCCTTTACATTTTATTTTACTATCATTGCTCTGCCCTTATAAATTAACAACATACGCCCACTGTGAAATTGCAAGGAACTGCTGGCATCTGTTAGTGTAAAGCTACATCTTTTATTCTGTCAGCCTAAAAAGGATTAACAATATTTTGTATTCCAAATGCACAGCATACTGCTCAGTAAGAAGGGTGGCTTCAACAATAAATGTTTTCATTTTACTTCAGGAAATAAGTTATTACACGCATTGAAATACAATTTAGTTCCATTTTAATTGGTTCGGGTAACCTACAGACATTTGATAAAGTTTTATTCAGTGTCTAAAAAAGCTTTAATCTTGCAGAGATAGCTGTACCAACCAGACTTGGTGCCCCGAGGAAGAAACGATTACACTACTTTCCTCTTTAATTGCATTGCCTTTAAAATGTAGATACTAGTAGCAGTAGTTAGGATACTAGTATTTAGGACAAGTCATGGGTCTGTATAATAAAAATAGAATCTGATACATTAGAAATATGAAAATGGTTGTGGCGTTAGCTTAGGGTTTAAATTAATAGCCAGACAGAAAATCAAATCCTAACTATGTATGTAGATACACCTTTTTTCCCCTGATTAATACAATTACTTTTGATTGATCTGTGTCACAGGAACTTGATGCAGTTTTATCTTGTCACTTTCTATTTGTTACACCAGGTCTTGAGAACTTCCCTCTGGCTCAACATTGCTTCATCAAGTCCATACAAGTTGAACCAAATGTATGTACTGCACATTTGTTCAGATGAAGAATCGTATTCTCAGAAATTACTCTGATGTTTTAATGTGACTTCTTAATATTTCATGACAGAATGTTGTTGCTTGGACCAACCTCGGCACCCTGTATTTGAAAAAGGACAATATAGAGGTGTGTGTGATAAATTTTCTTATGTTTGTTTTGTTTTCATAGTTGTGGTTGTTAAAGTCTGGTCTTATTTTCTTAGCTTGCGCACGAGGCCTTCAAGATTGCCCAGTCCTTGGAGCCACTTTATGTCAACTGCTGGATTGGACAGGTACAAAGACATCATGATCATGAGAAAATGTTTAAAGGTCACTTTAATTGATCATGTCGAAGAAATGGAGATACAAATTTTTAATAATTCAGAGTATCCAAGGGTTGAGCCTTCTTTATCACATACAAATATATTTCCTGTACAATATATGCATGCATATATTAAAAATCAGGCAAAATCTAATGGTAAAACTAACAATGAAAAGGATAAGTTTGTAAGATAATCAGGTTTTCTTGAGATAGTACAAGTGTAGGAATACAGAGAAGAAGCCATTTCTGGTCTTTCTGTAGTTCAGTTCATTAGTTATATTTACCAATGCAATGAATTTAAGTTCAGTTGTTGGATAAGATATAATATGTTGTTGGCTTAAATGAAGTTTAATTTAGAGTACAAGGTTTGTTAAGAATAAAGTTAGTTTATAAGAAGAATTAGTGAATTTCTCTTGTTGGCCTCTTTGTCTTTATCTGCCTAAATTATCATTTTATCCTTTTGTCCTCCCACCAGGCGCTGATAGCAGAGAGAGTGGGAAGCTATGACACCATGGATCTTTTCAGGCACACCACTGAACTCCGCACACATGTGCGTTACCTCCCAAACCTACTGGGGTTGTTATTATAATACCCACTAATTAGCAGGCTAATAACAGTTTAATGTTTGCTTCAACTTTTTCTGTCACTCTGCTAAATGTTCAGCTATAAGCATATTGCTTTTTGTATAGTTTATTTCTACTTTGTCAGACTATGTTTATGCCTTGGCTTTCTTTGCTTTTTCTCCCTCTTCATCTACATCTCTCTCATCACTCATCTTTCCCGATAGATGGAGGGAGTGAAAGGATATGCCTACTGGGTATGTTCCACCCTGCTAGATAAGAGCAACAGGGACTCTGAACTGTACCGCTACAACATAGTACAGATGAACGCCATCTCTGCTGCTCAGGTGGCTCTCAGCAAGTACACAGGTACCGCATATATTTGTGAGTTGATGCACATGCAGGATTCACAGATCCCTTGATTGTATTTGGGTCATGTGTTACAGATAGATGTGTGACATGACGTTTCTTTTGCACCTCTGTCAGAGAGGATCCAGTCTGACCCCGATGCCTTCATTATGCTTGGCTACCTGAATGAGCATCTGCAGCTCAAGAGGCAGACCTTACAGGCTTACCAAAGGTGTCTATCTGAATTACACTGACCACCAGCTCACATATGAGGCAGTGGTGTACCAAGAAAATAATGGAAGACAAAAGATCATTCACCTTTCTCAATCTTAACTCTCTTTCCTCAGAGCTGTAGAACTGCTTCGGCCCATGTCCTCGACAGAAGAGCTGGCTTTTGCTCTGGGCTGCTATGGCCGTGCTTTGTGGTAACAATCTACTCAACTTTCAATGTACTTTAACCATCTTCGATTATACTTCACAAATATGCCAAACTCCATTCTTTGTATGTCCTACTGTGTCATTTGCAGCACCTCGGGCCAGTGGGAGGAGGCAGCGCATGTTTATAATTCCACTTCACTGCAGGAGCTGAGTGAGCTGACAGGGCTGGCTCTGGCCTACTGCAGGGCAGGACTCATCCAAGAGAGCACCAACGGTGAGGACAGGGAGAGACAAACTGAAATTAGAGATTGTATATGTGTTGACATGCCAGAGTGACTGAACTTAATAAACTGTGTGTGTGTGTGTGTGTGTGTGTGTGTGTGTGTGTGTGTGTACTTTAGCCTATGAACGTGCCTTGGCTGTGGCTTCCAGTGAGAAGGAGAAGGCTTACATCTTGACAGCCCTGGCCCTGCTTCAGCACCGGGATGGTAACCTAGACTCAGCTAAGACTCTGCTGTTTAAATGGTGAGTCCACAGTGTTGTCTGGACCGTTACCAGTGGTTTATCACATTTTTGTCCACTAACTAAAAATACTGTATAGGTTGATTGAGTGTGCGTTTTTCTGACCAGTCTTCATTTCAAACTAAACTTCACACTTACTAGAGATAGATAATCCACCTCTGATGAATACATTTTCATTGCATTATAATTCTGAGAGTAGGGCAATATAATGTAGTCAAAGCTATGATATTTTTACTCATTTTCATGCAATAATGTAATTTGGGCTTTTTTAATTTCCATTTCAGTCAGGGACTGCTCAAGTGCTTGTGGCCAAACGGTATTGGATTCACAAGCTCTGATGCCAAACTACCAAACCTGAAAGACAAACTATTAGGAAATGCTTGATGCAAAAGAACCATGTAAATATGATGCATTTAAAAGGATGCTCTTTGACAGCAAATTGTCCGACCTTCCCAAAACCATTTGATTGTGCCAAGGAAAATCTTTATTACCACATGATGATAATGTGTGACTATGCTTACACTGAATTTGCTTTCAAGCTAAAAGTATTTATCTCTCTGCTTTCTGTCTCCACAGCTCGATGTTAAAGGAGCCAATCTCAGAGTCTCTGCTGTGTTTATGTGCCCTGGGATTGGTCCACAGTGATGCTACACTAGCTGCTGCTGCCCTGACTGAGTTGCTGAAGCAAGGTTCCGCCTCTGGGAATGTTATAGAGCAGCGGTGTCTGCTCACCTGCGCCTTGCTAACCCTGCAGGGCAACTACAGTGCGGTGCAAAGAGAGGCTTCCAGAGCTGTACACAGGTAAGCTGCTTGTTTTATGCGTTTAGAGTGCCCTACTGATGTGCTGTACCCTTAAGTAACTGATTTGACTTAAAATTAAAGTTATACATCAATGTACTCAAAATAAACTTTTGACACTAAAGGCCAGATTTACTGAGCCTTTAACACCTTGTTTTAGGTGCATAGTGTGGAGGATTGCACAAAAACTTGGTAGTGTGATAGGTTTATAAGTTTGATTCCATGTATCACTGCATTTACTATCATTAGTTTGGGGTCATTTTTGGATAGACATTTCTCTGCTTCTGAGACTGTATTATCACATACATAATAATTCTTATAATACTTTTTATGGGGTAAGCCTATACAGAAGGTACAAATTCTACAAAGTCTTTGTCTGTCTTATTTTTCTGTATTATTACAGCAATCCTGGAAACCCATCACTGTGGGCACTGCTGTCCAGACTGGTACCACAGTACTACCCCAAGAAGGCTAATGTAAGGCTGCATACACACACACAGACACAGACACACACACACAAACATTACACACATCCCAAGTCTATTATATTTGCACACATTTAATTGAGCAGCCTCTAAAGCTGTTGCTGTAGTGCTGCTGGACAGTTATAGTGGAAGGGTTCATGGTTTTGTTTGCTGTGTGTTTCAGGGCGGAGCGATGGCTGGTCATGTTGCCTGTCTCTCCAGTATGACCCTAGGAAAGGTAAGAGTGACGGTGAATTGATGTTTAAATGGCTTTGTGTATCTTTATCTGTTGTGTTCTTTCTTTTATTTGACACTTTGTCTAACCTCACTGCTATTATAAGTGAAACTCAGTACGATCATGTTATTTTGCCTGGATTCTATAATGTGTAATCTATTTTACACTGTAGATGTAGATTGCATTAAAAAATACTGTATATTAAACTGTGTTAATCTAACTTATGTGCCTGCAGAGGGCGTTGTTGTACAGTGGAGTAAACCAGCTAGCTAGTGGGAGACACTCTGGAGAGGACAGTCAGAGGAATGCACTGAAGACTATGCAGAGAGCTGTTCTGCTCTGCCCTGGTATAAATACACACACACACACACACACACACACACACACACTAACTCACATACAACCACACACTTATCAGTGGAAACTCAAAAAATGTATGTCTTAGAAAATAAATCAGTCATAAAGAAGTGAGGTAAAGTTAATATTAGGAAATACATTTGTGTAAATTCTCTTATTTAGATTAATTAAATGTTGTGTATGGTACCATTCTTCCATCCATCAAATACACAGTATAATTGAAGTATTGCAGCTTTGTGTCACAGAGAAGCTTGTTACCTTATGTTTGTCCTTATTAATACATTAATAAATACATTTATTTGAAAATGTAAAGCTACTTTACACTTTGAAAAGTCCATGTGATCTGAGTCTCCACTTGTGTCTCTACTTTCAGATGATCCAGCAACATGGGCGGGATTAATGGCTGCCTGTCACACAGAAAACACTTCCTGTTACCTTTCAGGTTCTGCTCCTTGCAGACAAGGACTGGAGCAAATCCTTATGTCGGTGGTTTCTGAGAAAGGTGTGTGTGTGTGTGTGTGTTTTATGCCGTTTGCACTTTTTTGTGCAATTTGCATGTATAACTGTCACCTTTCTGTTTTCCAGTGCGTAGTGTGGAGGAGGTGGAGCGCCCTCTAGCCCAGACTCTAGAGGGCTGGGTACTGCAACAGGCAGTGACTGGTCTCACGCTGGGGGGAAAGCTGGAGCAGGCAGAAGCCCTCTGCTCACAGGTGAGATATTATTCTCTAAATTACTTAATTGTAAAAAGGGTTACACTTGTTTTAGGCTGAAATTACATAGATGAAGTAATACCAGTTATATTCACATTCATATCATCATCTCTTCTGTCCATTGCTGTGTTCCTCATACTCTGCCTGCTTTTTCCCAGGTGCTGAATGTTTCTCCAGAACACCCAGCTGTGATGCTGTCACTGAGACAGGTACAGTGTCAGCGTCTCCTTGTTGCCAGTGGGGGTACCATCCTCCCAGTCTCTGTGTTGGAGCAACTAAACAGCACTGTGATGGCGAACCCCACAAACATTGGTGCATGGCACGTAAGTGGACGCTTCATCATTTAAGATGTTGCACCAGTTTTTGTATTGCAGTAACTTAATGACAAGCTATGGCTCCTTTAATTTGAAGCAGTAGTAGTATAATAGTACAAACAGTGCTTTACCTCTATCTTCTCTATTACACAGCGAGGCTTGAACATATATTGATGGTCCCAGTCTTGGATGATTGCTGGTTTAAATATTAAGGTCATGTTGAACTGTATTGATGATAAAACCTTTTTGTCCTGCTTCCACTGAGACACTGGTTAAATGAAGACCATTTTTGTGCCTTGTTTGAGACCTCAGATTGCTGCACTTATAATCAAATGACTGCTACCCTCAGGGGAGAAGCTCGAACGAAACCAGGCTCTCTCTTTAAGCCATGTGCATATTAGCAGATTGTTGCTTGTTTGAGACCACAAATGTTACAGACTGTGTAGCAATATCATTCTGTGTCTGTATAAGTCATCTTACAGCCATTACTGAATCAACATGCAGTCAGCTATTTTATGTAATGAAAATAATTGTCCGTGAAGTTTGGCTTAATTTATGAGAAGTCATTGTATCATATTACTAGCTGAAAATACTAGCATGTTTGTACCAGTAGTCTCAGTTTTGCATCAACTTTAAGCAATTTTCCTCTCTCCTTCTAATTGTTATCTCACATTGCCTCTAACATCCTATACCTCTCTCTTCACCCCTCATATTTCCCACCCGACCCTCTGTAAATCTCCCATTCTCACTACTCGTCCTTGATCATCCCGTCACTCTCCTACTCTCCTTCTCTCAGTGGCTGGCTGAGGTGTATCGGAGCCAGGGCCTGTTGGTTCAGGCAGTCATGGCTTATAGGCAGAGTCTGCAGGTAGCATCACAGCTCGGTCTGCACAGCAGCCAGGTAGCCAGCCTTCTCCGACTAGCCCTGCTTGCCCTAGGACCCTGTATGGTGAGTCCCTGCATTTAAGGGTGATACAGTACAGCTATTACAGCACAGCTATCGGAGATTTTTTTTTTTTTTTGCTATGAGTAGGAACATTTTAACAAGGACTAGTAGTGTTTTAGAATAATAGGAATAAGAAGATTTGCATATTACTACTCACACACGAGGCCAGAGGCAGCTCCTGTCTACACACTTGTCACATGGGCCGAAACAAGGTAGAGATGAAAGATGGGTCAATTTCCTGCAGAACTAGAGGATCAGTGGAAATACAAACAAGACAAGAAGCTGCTTTTGTGATTTTTAACTGGAGTGGATGTGGTTTTTAGTGCACTGCTCACACTGGAGCAAATCCCATTGTGGCCTACCATAATGAAATACAATTCTTTTTTGTTTGACATTTTGATAACCCTGTGAATATCACATTATTTTAAATTACAGCCACTGCTCCTCTGAAAGCAATTACTTACACAGAGGAGGCAGGTGTTATACATATTGTTTGCAAACAATAGGGTTAAAAACATTACAAGTTGAGTAGATGAATAAAACTTAATTTTGGCCTCTCATAGCTAGTTTTATTCTTAACACTGTGTGATCTGACCTCAGGCGGGTGTCCCAGGAAACGACTGGACGACCCTGATACTAGAAGCCACCACTGAGGTCTTGAAGCTGGGTTCATGCCCTGTGGCCCTTCTTTTCCAGGCCCTGCTCCAGTATGTGACCAAGATGGCTGCTAGGTCAGTGCTTTTGTGTTGTGTTTTGTTTTCACTGCCATAGGTAGTATGCAAATGATTTTATCCCATTGGTGTATAAGTGTAATGGATTATCTAAAGTGAATGAATGAATCAGACGATTGCGGAAACTTGAGATCTGTACTTCAATCTTTCTTTTCAAGATGTTGGTACTTTTGGAAGTGCAAAGCAGTTTCCAAAGCAAAGTTTTCATGTCCTGACATAATAGCCTTCTGTCGCTACCTCACAGTCCAGCCAGGACACTTAATTAGAATGCTACATTCATGAGAGAGCTGAGGAATATGCCAATCATGAACTGGCTAAATTGCTTCAGTGATGCTGCAGGAACACCTCTGTGCCAAGCATAATAACAATGCCAAAAGGACCTTTCATGCCAGAGAGGAGTTCAATTTTATCGGAAATATTGGAAAACAGAAGTAGGACATTTGTGCCAGCTAATTCCAGCTAGGCAACAAATAAGATTCATCCAATTCCTTATGTTTTCAAGAGCTAATGAGAATAGGTGTCGTTTACAACACAGGCCGCACAATTGGGAATGCATTTCATTTACAATCTCTGCTCCTAAATGTACGCCTGGGTATGTGAGACATCCAGACAACGCAATAGAAATGATTCTGGTTAACAAGGAACAGGGCTCATATTATACCTTTGCCTATTTCTGTGTGTCTTCTGTAGGGAAACAAGGCGTTTGTTGGAAAGGCTGATAATTGTCCCCTCTCAAGACTTCCCAGTGACAGTGGTGCAGGTGGCCAGCTGGTACCTCCTCAGACACTTGCATGCCAAAAACGACCAGGAGCTAATCAATGTGAGCACAGACCTGCCTCATACCTGCACTGGCACTAGATTGAATCATTTTTGTAGCGATATATATTAGTCTGTTTCCAACCATGACTTCTGTGAACACGGTTTTGTCACCACAACTTTGAGAGTGAACATATATTCTCATCCTTTTTTTGCAGAACCTTTTGCACCATGCCAAAATGAATGGAGATCAAAGACTGCTGGAGTTTCACTCACTGCTTGCCGCCTCTTCATCCTGAATTTTGTCTACAACTGCATCACTGTGAAATCCTCCTGCTTAGTGTTAGGTTTATCCACAGGCTGACTGTATCATATCAAATCATATCAAACTGGACATTTTGGGTCTGATATCATGAATAACTTTTATTGGCTTTCCATGATTCTTTGGTTTTACATTATACAGTGTCAATGAATTCAATATATCAAAATCATGAGTCTTATTGCGTACAATTTCAAAATGCACTTCACATTAAGTAACCAATATCAACATTAAGGCTGAAATAAAGACATCTTGCTCAGTATGTATAGATTGTCTCCTCTTGGTTTCACATAATCCTAAGCATGCTGATCTGTCAATATACAGAAAATCACACTTAAGTAGTATTATACTTTGAGGTGAGAATAATGTTTACTCTTAAGTTTTCCCCTCCACCTAATAAGGCTATATGGACCTGGATTCTCATTCCATCTGTTTCACTACAGCACTGTTTGTCCTTAACACGCTCTCAGACACTAACTCGACAAACATGCTTGGTCATGAGAATGCAGATGTTTTGCCCACAGCCCCAGCACTGTTGCTTGGTGTGTGAGGAGCCCAGCTGGGTCTTTCTCTTGCACAGTGAACACACATCCACAGCTCCACCACCTTGTGACGCTGCACCCCCATATATTCCGCTGGGATTTCTCTGACTATTAGTTACAAGCTGTTGAAGCTCTGTCAGTATGGTGTTGTTTGGTGCCTTTGCAATGCCCACCACCGTCACTCTTTTGGGGTCAAACACACAATCCTCCTCTAGGCCACTGGGCACAGCTTTCATGCCACAGTTGGGGGGAACCCAAGCAGTGTCGTAGCCCTGCGTGCTCCAGGTGTACTGCATAGGATGGTCGTCCTTGTCAATACGTTTGACACGGCCAACACGCACACGTAGCTTAAGGACCACGCGGTCTGAAAGGTTATTGTTTAAAGGATAACGTTCTGCCTTCTTTTTCTCACGAGAGACATATACGCCCTTTCCCAGCATGCCACGGGGCGACTGCTGAAAGCCATTGGAAATGATGAGCCGTGCATTGGCAATGCTGGTGCCATGGTACATGGTGTAGACACCCCTGTCTTTGGGCTCCTGAGATGACCCCAGCTCCGCACGAGGAGAGTCATCATCATAGGCCACCTCCCAGCCAAAGAATGGCAGTGACATCCTGCTTCAACAAAGGGAAAGTGTCCAAGACCTGCAGCTCTGTGAGAAATAAATACATAGATGGACGCTCAGAACAAATGTGTGTGTCACTTTTCATGTTTTACAACTGCATGTAGTTTGGTGTCATGTGGTAGATGAACAGTGTTCCACCAAATTCTGTTACCCATCATAGTCCCAATTATGAATTTAAGCTATAATGACACTATAAACATGTTATACTTGATCACAAACTATATTTTGATAGCAGATTTGACCAAATTCCCTCCATATTTAGAGGGTCACAATTTTTCAAAGTCTGTACAATGTCTTTCAGGTAGCTAATAGATTTCTGTAACGTTATGAAGAACAGTTAACAAAATCTGAGACCCTATCTTAATACTATAGGAGGCACTATGTTTCAGAAAAGCTATCACAAGATATAAAAACGTTTGCAGTGTCGTTCTAAAGCTACGAGTTAACCCCTCATATGCTAATAGCTAGGTTATACTGTGAGTTTAGGACAGGCTGAAGTTAACGTTAACTGTCACCAAAATGAACGACTAAGTTCTAAGTTTCATTTGCAGAAAACCATCCACATTCTTAACAAAACTGGCGTTTTTACGTTAGGATTTGACTTACTGGCACATTTACAATTTATGTAACGTTAACGTTAAGTCTTTAAAGGCTAACGTTAAAACTAGTAAAACTGTTGTAATTTAGCTTAGCTTAACGATAATTAACTAGTATTAGTTACTTAGTAACTAAAATTACCTTTAATCTAATGAAATATAGCCTAATGTCGTTTAAGCTGATATAACATTGACGTTAACAAACCTTAACGTTACCGTCAATGAGAAGTCGTTTTCAGTCTGTAACCTCGATAACTTTCACTTTCTGTAGCGTTACACTTTAATATAGGCTACTGTATGTTTGTCGGTATCGACTTTGACTTTCGCTTTGAAAGAGAAGTAAACCAACTTCATTTCCATATTTATGTGGACAAGTCGTATGTACCCATGGCCGGTTAGCTCAGTTGGTTAGAGCGTGGTGCTAATAACGCCAAGGTCGCGGGTTCGATCCCCGTACGGGCCAAGAGTATATTTTCTCGACCTGTCCTGAAGAAAAAAACCTTGAGTCCTAGAAGCTGGCAATGAATTTTGGCAACTAATAGGCTACCTTTTAAAGATAAATGACAATTCTACCTCCCAATTTAGCCTATTTTTTTAACTTGTTATAAAACTGAATTTTGTACTGTAACATTTCATGAGAGCTGCATGAATTAGAAGACTGAGGCTAGTTCACTGTGTTGATCAATTGTAACTTTGTTTGGGATTTTGTAGACCACTGCTAAATGCCCCGTTTTGAATCTTTTTTCCCTTTTTTTTTTATAGCAGATACAGTAAGTTAGTGGTCCCAGATAACAAGGCCATTACATTTCTTTACTCCCATTGTTCTGCCCTTAGAAATCAAACTACACACGTTTGTGTCATATAAAGTTATAAAGAGTGGGAAACCCTTTCTATGTTTGTATTAGGCTGAAAAAAAGTGGATTTGATATTCCAGCCTTTCCTCATATCTTGAGCTACACTTCAGACTGCAGCCAGTGGGTCTGTCTCGCTGTGGCACATGCATAGGAAACTGAATATAGTCACAGTTAGTGACATGGCTGCTTAGTTTTCATCACAGCTTTGATTGTGAACATATTCCCTGCAATAATATCAAACTGGACAATATGGGTCTGTTAATATAACAATGACATTTATTGGCTTTAGTTTCGTTACATGATGCTGTGTATAGTAAATTTAAATCATTTCAGTACAATAATTCATAAAGACATTTTGCTTTACATGTAGTGTCTCATCTTCATTGCTTGTGATCATAATGCATGCTGATCAGATAATAATGTCAAGCAAGTGCAGTAGAAATAGAAAAATGATCATTTTAGTACATGTTATGGTTTACTATAAGCTGTTGTTTATTCATGAATAAGATTTTGTAGATCACTTCCAGAGGTTCCTAAACATGTCCAGCACATGTTGCATCAGTTACTTGTATTGCTTTATGTAAGATGCAGAAATCCTGTAATTTAAATCAGTTTAGTTTCCCCTCCACTCCGCCCCCAGCACATACAAAGCCCATATGGACGTGGATTCTTTCAGAATCACAACTCCACTCCGTTTTTCAAGGTCTCTTCTTCCCTTGCCTGTGTCGGGGTTTGGCTGGACAGAAATGCTTAGACATGAGAATGCAGATGTTTTTCCCACACTCCCAGCACTGTTGCTTGATGTGTGGAGAACCCTCTTGGGTCTTTCTCTTACACAGTGAACACACATTTGCAGCACCATGACCTCCTCTTCCTCCAGGTCTTTTGGATGTTTCTGACAGAAGCTTCTGAAGCTCGGTCAGTATGGCGTTGTCTGGTGCCGCTGCAATGCCCACCACCTTCACCCTTTTGGGGTCAAACACACAATCTTCCTCTAGGCCGCTGGGCACGGCTGCCAAGCCACAATTGGGGGGAACCCAGGCAGTGTTGTAGCCATGCGCGCTCCAGGTGAGCTGCAGAGGATGGTTGTCCTTGTCAATACGTTTTACACGGCCAACACGCACACGAAGCTCAAAGATCACACGGTTTGAAGGGAGACTCCACAAAGGATAACGTTCTGCCTTCTTCTTATCACGACTGACATACACGCCCTTTCCTAGCAAGCCACCTGGTGACTGATTAAAGCCATTAGCAATGATGAGCCGTGCGCTGGCAACGCTGGTCCCATGGTACATTTTGTAGACGCCCCGATTTTGGGGTGTCTGGGACGCCCCGAGCTCCACACCAGGAAAACAAGCACCATCGTCCACCACCTCCCAGCCAGAGAATCGTACAGACATCCTGATCCAGAAATTTGGCTGACTGTTCAAGTCGCACAACGATCTGCAGCTCTGTAAGAAATGAATTTAGAAATGTGGCATTATGTTATAGCCTGGCCCAGTTGTATTTTATTTAATGCACTCTGAATGGCCTTGATTTTGGGAGGTGCTACACACATCAACTGGCCTTGTTTCTTCTATTGTTCTTTGCTAACCTTGCTAGTTTCAGTGCACTCTTATTCGGTTAGTGTTTCTTTATTAATCACATCAGGGCAATCCCCCACTTTGTGAAAACATTATAATTCTACTTTCTACCGTTTCCTGATGGTTATTTTTGTTGACTTTCTATTTAAATTTAGTTAAATACAACTTCGTTTGAGGTTAAAACATTTAAACCTTACCGTCAGTGAGGATTAGTAGTCTCTGTTAGTTCAGAAACTTTCACTTTCGTTTAAGTGTTTCTATTTAAGATTGTGAGTTGGTTCAGTTTGTTAGAGCGTCGCGCTGCTAACGTCACGGTCCTGAGTTCAATCCACGTACGGGCCCAGTCACTGCAGTCAAGCCAGCCTCCTTCTTGGCTGAATGTAGTAAGCTTTCTGTGAGAATGTAATATTTTCTTTAGATACTTGTGGGGACTTAAGCATTTATTTATTTATTCAATCGTTTCTGCCACATCAATTGCATAATGTTCAGCAGAAGCTCACTTTTATTTTGAAATGTGCTACGACGCGATGTTACCGTAATGCCTAGAAAAAACACGCATCGAAAGAACAGCGCGCGGGCTGGCTTGCCTGTTATCGAAGTGGAGGCTGGCTTGATTTCAGTGCCCAGTCGATACTTCTACTATCAATCCTCAACAGTACCTTTAGTCTTAGAAGCAAAAATAAAAATGATGTGCATTCCTGAAGTTTAAAGAGGTTTGAATGTACTGATGTGATTTCAGCAAGATCTGACAAGAAAGTGTCAGAAGAAATATTAATATAGTTAAGAAATACTGTATGTTCCTCTTCTTGAGAATCCAGGAATCTGTAATAGCTAGGGTGGCTAGCTACAAAACGGGAACTTTAAAGGTCAGCAGCTGTGTCAGTCAGAGAACAGGACACCAGAATGCACACATAAGCAGTTTGTTCACCTAACACCTGGGAGGCAGTTGACCACAAATGCGTCATCAGATATAATGGAAGTAACCTGTTTTAAAATGCCTGATTGTACACTGAACAAAATTATAAACGCAATACTTTTGTTTTTGCCCTCATTCATCATGAGCTGAACTCAAAGATCTAAGACTTGGTCTATGTACACAAAAGGCCTATTTCTCTCAAATATTGTTTACAAATCTGTCAAAATCTGTGTAAGTGAGCACTTCTACTTTGCCAAGATAATCCATCCACCTCACAGGTGTGGCATATCAAGATGCTGATCAGACAGCATGGGTATTGCACAGGTGTGCCTTAGGCTGGCCACAATAAAAGGCCACTCTAAAATGTGCAGTTCCATCACACAGCACAATGCCACAGATGTCGCAAGTTTTGAGGGAGCGTGCAATTGGCATGCTGACTGCAGGAATGTCCACCAGAGCTGTTCCACGTGAATTGAATGTTCATTTCTCTCCCATAAGCTTTCTCCAAAAGCGTTTCAGAGAATTTGGCAGTACATCCAACCAGCCTCACAACCGCAGACCACGTGGAACCACAACAGCCCAGGACCTCCACATCCAGCATCTTCACCTGCAAGATTGTCTGAGAACAGCCACCCGGACAGCTACTGTAACAATCAGTTTGCATAACCAAAGTATTTCTGCACAAACTGTCAGGAACGTCTCAGGGAAGCTCATCTTCATGCTTGTCGTCCTCATCGGGGGGCTCGACCTGACTGCAACTTTGCACAGCCTCTAAAGAGGAGTGGACAAACATTCCACTCTAAGCAAATGAGAAGTGCTCACTAACACAGATTTGACAGATTTGTGAACAATATGAGAGAAATAGGCCTTTTGTGTACATAGAGAAAGTCTTAGATCTTTGAGTTCAGCTCATGATGAACGGGGGAAAAACAAAAGTGTTGTGTTTCTAATGTTGTTCAGTGTATTAAAATTACTTAAAAAAATTATTATTAATGTTTTAAGCAGAATAAGAACTAGTGAACAAGTGATGATGATGATGATTACTGATGTGAAAAAATTTAAAATTACATTTTAGTTTTAAAAGCAGAAATGTTTTACTTTGACAAATTTGACAAAAAAATCAAAGGGATCAATATATACTTTACATGTGTATTTTATTTGATTAGCTTTATTCAATTTCATGATTGTTTCATTTTATGACAAAATGTTGTGTAACTTTCTACTGAATTTTCAAGAGGGCAAGGCTGTAATATGGGACAGGGGTAAGAGGCCTTAAGGATAACCATATATGGAATTTACTCTGTGGAAAGCAGGAAGCCAATCACAGAGCGCCTAATTGGATGGACACTCTGATTCGGCCAATCACCAAACACCCAAGGCCAGAACACACCCTGTCCATTCCTTTATTTAAACAGTAGATTTTTGACGCATGCTGAGCAGAGAATAATATAAAGATATTGCAGTATAAAGAGGACATGAACATTACAGTACATTTAATAATTTACTATAAGCTTGTGTCAATTCATGAATAACATTTTGTAGAGTACTAAATACAGGTTGCATCAATTACAGATATTGCTTTATGAAAGATGCAGAATTCTTGTAATCTATATCAACTTAATTTACCCTCCACCCCACCTCCAGCACATACAAAACCATGGATCTTCTTCCCTCACTCGTGTCAGGGTTTTACAGGACAGAAGTGCTTAGACATGAGAATGCAGATGTTTTTCCCACACTCCCAGCACTGTTGCTTGATGTGTTGAGAACCCTGCTGGGTCTTTCTCTTACACAGTGAACACACATCTGCAGCACCATCACCTCCTCCTCTGGGTCTTTTGGATGTTTTTGACAGAAGCTGTTGAAGCTCTGTCAGTATGGTGTTGTCTGGTGCCTTTGCAATGGCCACCACCTTCACTCTTTTGGGGTCAAACACACAGTCCTCCTCTAGGCCGCTGGGCACAGCTTTCATGCCACAATTGGGGGGAACCCAGGCAGTGTTGTAGC